ACCAATTAGCACAATGTCTCGTCGCCATGCATAGCAATTCGCACAATGTCTCGTCGCCAGGCATAACAATTCGCACAACGAAATCTGTCCCGAATCAATAGATCCGCTTACCAATTCGCACAATATCTCGTCGCCCAACATACCTAATTCGCACAATATCTCGTCGCCCAACATACCTAATTCGCACAATGTCTCGTCGCCAATTCGCACAACGAAACAATCCGAAACAATCGACCCGCTCAACACAATGAAGCAATTATCGTCCCCCTTATCAGTGGGAGTGCACCGCAAAAAGGGCTTCCCGGTGAAGATAACAAGAGTGTTACTGCCTCTCTGCTATCATAATCGGGGAGATAAGACGTCAGCTGTTAACGCCTCCGAATCAAAGAGCGAGGCACGTCGGAAAATAAAGTCATTTCGAAAATGTCTCATGTCCAGACTGACCGCTAGAGGAGGTATTGAACGGGTCCCTCGGTCTTGTATTTCAGCCAATGAATTAAAATGAATAATAATAATAATAATAATAATAATAATAATAATAATAATAATAAATATATAATAATAATAATAACAATACTACTACTACTAATGATAATAAATATATAATGATATAATAATAATAATAATAATAATAATAATAATAATAATAATCATAATACACGAACAATATATTTATCGATTAGTTCCCTGGACCTTTTAATATCAAAGGGACGAGAATTCTGCACCGTCTCCGCTACAAAATACAACACTGACTAATACAACGAACACAAAAAGTAGATTCACTGGCGGTACGGATATATATGTACACACATGTACACACACACACACACACACACACACACCACACACACACACACACACACACACACACATACACACACAAACAAACAAACACTCAAAATAAACTCCACATCTCCCCCCCACCCCCACCCCCTCAAACACCCCACACCTTCCCCCCCCCCACCCTCCACCCCTCCTCTGCCAATTTCCGAAGAAGACCTCTGCGACCGCAAGTGCTTCCCCGACATCAATCCCACACTCAATTAACCCCAACGAATCCTTTCCCTCGTCCCTCCCCATCCATTATCCATCCTCATCCTCCTCTTCTTCATCCATCCTTCTCTAAACCGTCATCCCTCTGAGAGAAAGAGGAGAGAGAGAGGAGAGAGAGAGAGAGAGAGAGAGAGAGAGAGAGAGAGAGAGAGAGAGAGAGAGAGAGAGAAGTAGAGACATAGAGAGAGATAGAGAAGAGAGAGAGAGAGAGAGAGAGAGAGAGAGAGAAGAGAGAGAGAGAGAGAGAGAGAGAGAAATTAGATGAAAAGTGATAAAATAATCCTGGATGCTAACCCCGGCGGCCATTCCTCACACATAGCAGATAATTTGGAACGATAAACAGAGATGGAATTCAACTAAATGACTAAATCAGTATCATAATTACCATCATCATTGGCGATATCTACTACAGGGATTGCAACAGCGCATACCACGATGGTCTGAGCGGCGAACACACTAAACCACAATGGACATGGGGGCTACTAAAATACTCACGCTGGAACCTAAATCACTAACATTTTATGCTATTGGCGGTCAGTCTCTCTCTCTCTCCTCTCTCTCTCTCTCTCTCTCTCTCTCTCTCTCTCTCTCTCTCTCTCTCTCTCTCTCTCTCTCTCTCTCTCTCTCTCTCTCTCTCTCTCTCATTTTTTTTTTCTGTTTCAGTCTCTCTATGCCAGCCTGTATATGCACATGCACATGTACATGCATATGTATACATATAAACAGATACATTAAAATGCATACATATACATATAAATATACATATCTGTACAAATAAATATGCAAATGTGTATGTGGGTATGTATGTATGCTTATGTGTATGTATATGTATGTATGTATGTATGTGTATGAATATGCATATGTATATGCATATGAATATGTATTTGTATATGTATATGCGCATGTATGTATGTATGTATGTATGTAGTATGTGTATGTATGTGTGTGTGTGTGTGTATAAACACACATACACATAGACAGATATGTATGCATATACATGCTTTGTCATCTTATCACTTTTCATCTAATTTCTCCTCCTCTCCCTCTTTCTCTCTCTCTCTCTCTCTCTCTCTCTCTCTCTCTCTCTCTCTCCTCTCTCTCTCTCTCTCTCTCTCTTCTCCTTTTTCCCTTCCTCTCACCCCCTTTAACATGACAAGCAATAATAAAAACCGCATCCCACCGCGACCCGACACCGCTGCACCGAACACACACACATACACATATATTTTCCACTTGCTTAACTTCCCCATTTCTGCATTAATACGGGCAAGACACAAAGAACGGTTATCGCGTGTAAACCATAGAATAGGGGAAGGGAAAGAGGATAGAGAGGGGAAGAGATAGAAGGGGAAGATGATGATGAAGAGGATGGACAGAAGGGGAAGATGATGATGAGAGGGATGAGACAGAAGGGGAAGATGATAAAGAGAGGAGAAAGAAGGGGAGTGATAGAGAGGGGAAATGATAGACGGGAAGATACAGAAAGGGAGACAGAAGGGAAGATGATAGAGAGGGGAAGATGATAAAGAGAAGAGATAGGACGGGAAGATGATAGAGAGGGGAAGAGGCAGAAGGGAGAGACAGGAGGGTAAGATGATAAAGAAGTAAAGAGACAGAAGGGGAAGGCGATAAAGAGGGGAAGAGACACAGGGGGAAGGTGATAAAAAGAAGAAGAGACAGAAGGAATGACGATATAAAGAGGGGAAGAGACAGAAGGGGAAGACGAAAAAAGGGAAAGAGACAGAAGGAAGGACGATAAAGAGGGAAGAGAGCAGAAGGGGAGAAGAAGATGAAGAGGGGAAACGACAGAAGGGAAAGATGATAAAGAAGGGAAGAGACAACGAGAACGGGGAAGCAGAAACGGAACGAAGCCAAATGCCCTCCACGAAACACGCCGTCGGAATGGAAGTGAAAAGCCGGAAAAAGATCCATTCTTCGTCGCTTTTCGTTCCGTCGAACAAGTGGCACGAGGAACGTAACGAAGAAGGGAAGAAGAAGAAACGAGAATAGCATTAGAAGGGAAGATGGAGAACAAGCACGCAACGAAGAGAAGTTATAAGAAGAAGGGAAGATGGAGGGCAAGACGAAGAAGGGAAGAAGAAGAAGAAACGAGAATAGTATAAGAAGAAGGAGAAGATGGAGAACGCACGAAGGAGGGAGGAAGAAGAAACGAGAATAGTATAAGAAGAAGGAAGTGGAAGAGAACGCAACGAAGAAAGAAGGGAAAGAAAGAGAGAGAAGAGAATGAAAGAAACAGAATAAGTATAAGAAGAAGAAGGAGAAGATGGAGAGAACGCAACGAAGAAGGAAGACTAAAAACGACACGACCACAGAATAAGAAGAAGAGAAGATGGAGAAAACAAAAAGATGCATATTCGTTGTTTCTATCGTTCTTTTCCCTTCGGTTGTTTCCTTTCGCTCCGGACCCTCGTGGCGGAAGGAAGCCCAAGGGAGAGAACGAAGGCTTCTTCTCGAGATCAGAAAGGGTTGGCTTCTTATCTCTATCCCCCCCTCTCTCTCTCTCTCTCTCTCCTCTCCTCTCTCTCTCTCTCTTCTCTCTCTCTCTCTCTCTCTCTCTCTCTCTCTCTCTTCTCTCTCTCTCTCTCTCTACCTCATCCTTTTGAGATGTAAATCTTACTTTGTCTCAATAAACGTGTCAGTCCAAAGTCAAAGTCTCCTCTCTTTCGATTAGTTTTGTTACTATCGGTCTGTCTCTCTTTATCTTATCTCTATCCTTCCCCCCCTCTCTCTCTCGGTACACGGTTTGCAAGAAAGAAAACATGGATAAACGCATAAAAAACATAGATATTCGCGTGTGTGTGTTGGCAAAATGAATGCATGTACGCAGGACACATATGCATGGAAGCATACAAGTGATTATGTATATATATAGATAGATAGATGGATATAGATGAGATGAGGGAGGAGGGAGGGGAGGGAGGAGGGGAGGGGGAAGAGGAGAGGGAGAGGGAGGGAGAGGGAGAGGAGAGAGGAGGAGAAGTGAGAGTGAGGGAGAGTGAGAGTGAGAGTAGAGAGATGAGAGGATGACAGAGTGAGATCGGAGTAGAGAGAGAGAGAGAGAGAGAGAGAGAGAGAGAGAAGAGAGGAGGAGAGGAGAGAGAGAGAGACTAGAGAGAAGAGAGAGAGAGAGGAGGACGAGAGAGAGAGCGATATGTATGCATATAGATAAAAAAAGATGGAGATAGATAAAGAGAGAAAAGAGAAGAATGGAGGGAGAAAGGGAAAGGGATAGAGATAAGGATAAGGAGAGAGAGACAGAAAGACAGTGCCAAAACTGCATCGAAAAACACGAGTTTACGCATCATAAAAAAACAAACAAACAAAAAAAGTCATGCCAATCCTCCCGGGGCATTTCCAGCCCGACCTTTAAGCCAAACACCCAATCATTAGCGATTGGCATTAATCAGCGAGCAACAGAGCTCCGAGAAGGATTTTTTTTAAACCCCCGCACCGCCCTCCTCCATCCTCCACCCCCACTCCTCCTCCTCCTCTTCTTCCTCCTACTTCTCCTCCTCCTCTTCTTCCTCCTCTTCTCCTCTATTCTCCTCCTCCATCCCCTCCTTTCCTCCTCCTCCCCTTCCCCTCCTCCTCCATTCCCCTCCCTCCCCCATCCCAATCTCCTCCTCCATTCCCCATCCCCCCCACCACCCACCTCCATTCACCCCACCCTCCACCCAGAAAAAAATTGCAAACCCCGCTAAAAAAATGATTCCACAAAAAAAAAAAAATAATAAAATAATAAATAAATAAATAAAAACAAAATATAAAAAAAAAATAAAAAAATAAAAAAAAAAATAAAAAGCTCAGAGACGACGAACGCGGGACCGAACAAGAAGCATCACCTCCACCGGCGACAAGGATCGGTTCGCCTGCAGTGAGGTCGCCTCGTCTCGTCTCCCCCTTCTGCAGGACTTTGTGCAACGTCACCACCAAAGAGCAGTGGGAGTCAAGGAGAGAGGGAAGGAGGAGAGGAGGGAAGGAGGAAGGGGAGGAGGAGGAGGAGGGGGAGGGGGAGAGGAGGGGAAGGGGGGGATGGGGATGGGGATGGGGAGGGGTGAGGAGGGGATGGGGAGGTGGAGGAGGAGGAAGGAGGAGGAGGAGGGATGGAGGAGGAGGGGGATGGGGAGGAGGAAGAGGGAGGGGAGGGAAGGGGATAGGGATGGAGAGAGATGGGGAGGTAGAGGGAAGGGGGGAGGAGGAGGAGGAAAATAATAATAACAATATAATAATAATAATAATAACAATAATAATAATAATAATAATAATAACAACAATAATATCAATTATAATAAAAAAATAAACAATGATAACAATAATGTATGATAATAATATAAAGCGAGAAAGAAAGAGGAGGAAGAAGAGGAGGAGGGGAACGCGGAGGGGAGAAGAGAGAAAAAACGTCGATAGAGGGAGGAGGCGACACGCGAAAGGGACCAAGACAAAGGAAAGAGGGGATAATGGCGAAACGAAACGAAACACGACTAAAAAACACGACGCGAGCGAGGTGGTCGTTCTGGACGCAGCTCGGGGCGCCGGACGGAGGGCGCCCTCGGACCGCGGTGACGAGGCAAGGTTAAAAGCCCCGTGCCCAGCGGACGCCCCTTCCCCCGCGACCCCTTCACGCCGCCGCCCCCGCGACCCTCCCGCCCGCCGCGTCCCATTCCCGCCCGCCGCCCGCAACCCTTTCCGCCCGCCGCCCATCCCCTCTCCCGCCCGACGCCCACACCCCTTCCCGCACCTCTACCCTTTCCCCCCCTTCCCCTAACCCTCCCCCGCCCGCCGCGCCGTTCCCGAATCGCTACCCACAGCATGCCAGGCGGGGCGCGGCGTCGAGTCACGCCCGCGCCCCACGTCAACCTCGATAACAGGACGACGGCGCGGATATTTACACGCGGGCGCAGGATACCGCAGCGTCACTTCCCGAGATGTGTCCCAAGCGATGCTCGCCAAGTCGCGTGGCGTGAGAGAGAGAGAGAGAGAGAGGAGAGAGAGAGAGAAGAGAGAGGAGAGGGAGAGGAGAGGAGAGAGAGAGAGAGAGGAGGAAGGAGAGGGAGAAGAGGAGAAGGAGAGAGAGAGAGAAGAGAGGAGAGGAGAGAGAGAGAGAGAGAGAGAGAGAGAGGAGAGAGGAGAGAGAGAGAGAGCGAGAGAGAGAGAGAGGAGAGAAGAGAGAAGAGAGAGAGAGAGAGAGAGAGAGAAGGAGAGAGAGAGAGAGGAGAGAGAGAGAGAGAGAGAGAGAGAGAGAGAGAGAGAGAGAGAGAGAGAGAGAGAGAGAGAGGAGAGAGAGAGAGAAACCTATTATCGCCCCACGATAGGCTATCAGGAGCTGGCTTCCTGTGTGGCTTTCAGGGCTCTGAAGTTGGGAAAAGACGCTGGGAAATTTCTGAAGCTGCCCCGCGATACGCCCCGCTACTGCCTCCCCCCCCCCCCGCTACATCACGCCAGGCTACAACACACTAGGCTTACGACCCGCCACGCTACACCAAGGTAAGCTACACCAACCAACACACCACCACGCCACGCTGGTCTACACCAAGCCAAGCTACACCACACCACGCTTAGTCTACACCAAGCAACGCAACACCACGCCACGCTAGTCTACACCAAGCCAAGCTACACCACACCACGCTAGTCTACATCAAGCCAAGCTACACCACACACGCTAGTCTACATCAAGCCAAGCTACACACACCACGCTAGTCTACATCAAGCCAAGCTACACCACACCACGCTAGTCTACACCAAGCCAAGCTACACCACACCACGTAGTCTACACCAAGCCAAGCTACACACACCACGCTAGTCTTACACCAAGCCAAGCTACACCACACCACGCTAGTCTACACCAAGCCAAGCTACACCACACCACGCTAGTCTACACCAAGCCAAGCTACACCACACCACGCTAGTCTACACCAAGCCAAGCGCATACACCAAGCCAAGCTACACCACACCACGCTAGTCTACACCAAGCCAGCCACGCCAGTCTACACCAAGCAACACATCACCACGCCACGCTACACCAAACCAAGCCAGCTACCCACACCACGCCACACCAAGCCAAGCTACACCAAGCAACACATCACCACGCCACGCTACACCAAACCAAGCCAAGCTACACCACACCACGCCACACCAAGCCAAGCTACACCAAGCAACACACCACCACGCCGCGCTACACCAAACCAAGCCAAGCTTACACCACACCACGCCACACCAAGCCAAGCTACACCAAGCAAACACATCACCACGCCACGCTACACCAACCAAGCCAAGCTACACCACACCACGCCACACCAAGCCAAGCTACCACCAAGCAACACACCACCACGCCGCGCTACACCAAACCAAGCCACGCTACGACCACGCGCCAGAGACCCGCCCCGCCCCGCCCGCCACGCCACGCCCGCTCCCTTCGCCCCGGACTGACCACTTCCGCCCTGTCAGCCACCCAGCAGCACCCGCGACAAACCTCCGACGGAAATGCCCTTTGCGGTGTCCTTCGGGCGCCTCCTCGGGCTTGTGCAACATCCACCGCGATAAGAACTCCGGCGTCGAGAGATAACATAACACCCCCCCAGCCCCCATCTAAGAAGATGATGAAGAAGAGGAAGAAAAAGAAGAGAGAGGAGGAGGAGGAGGAGGAGAGGAGGAGGAGAAGGAGGAGGAGGAGGAGAGAAGAAGGAGGAGGAGGAGGAGAAGAGGGAGGAGAAGAAGAAGAGGAGGAGGGGGGGAGGAAGAAAGAAGGAAGAAGAAGAAGAAGAAGAAGAAGAAGAACAACAACAACAACAACAACAAGACGAAGAAGAAGAGGAGGAGAAGAGAAGACGAGGAGGGGAGGAAGAAGAAGAAGAAGAGAAAGAAGAAGAACAAGAACAAGAAGAGAAAGAAGAACAAGAACAAGAAAAGAAATGCAGTGAAGGAAATCGAGAAACGGAAAACAACGACACAGCAAAAGCGACAGCGCAACCCACGCCTCCACGCCCATGCAGTCGACACCATCCACTCACAACCCAACAGAACCCACAATAAATAAATATACAACATACATACATACTAAATAAATAAATAAATAAATATACAACAATAAATAAATATACAACACAACATACTCCGCTATAAATAAATATGCGAAAGGACCGAAAAAGGACTAAATAAATAAATAAATAAATATACAACAATAAATAAATATACAAACACAACATACTCGCTAAAAATACATATACGCTAAAAAATTATATATATAAAACATACTCCACCATAAATAAATATGCGAAAGGACCGAAAAAGGACTAAATAAATAAATAAATAATAAACAACAATAAATAAATATACAACACAACATACTCCACCATAATAAATATGCGAAAGGACCGAAAAAGGACCAAGAAACAGATCCCTCAAGAGCCCCGAAGGATAGAGCAAAGGACACTTAAGTCATTTAAGGACCGGAGACCCTTAGATGCAGGAAGACGAGGATAAGAAGGTGAAAGATGCTGGGGGAGTGTTGACACGGGTGTGTGTGTGTGTGTTAGTGTGTGTGTGTGTGTGTGTGTGTGTGTGTGTGTGTGTGTGTGTGTGTGTGTGTGTGTGTGTGTGTGTGTGTGTGTGTGTGTGTGTGTGAGAGAGAGAGAGAGAGAGAGAGAGAGAGAGAGAGAGAGAGAGAGAGAGAGAGAGAAGAGAGAGAGAGAGAGAGAGAGAGAGAGAGAGAGAGAGAGAGAGAAATAAACAGAGAGAAAAAAAGAGAGCAAAAGAGAGATATACAGATAGTGAGAGAGAGAGAAGATAAATCAGAGAGAGAAAAGATAAAGAGAGCAAAAAGAAGATTATACAGATAGTGAGAGAGAAGAGAAAAACAAATAAACAAAGAAAGAGAGAGAAAAACAAAGAGAAAGAGACATTTAGACAGAAACAGAGACAGACAGACAGACAGACAGACAGAGAAGCGAATGCGAGACCCAGCCAGAGAGCGGGGCCGACGGACCCCAAGGGCGTGGCCAACCAATCCTACAGGAAAGCCTCCGCCCCCCGGGGAAAAAAAAATCGTCCTTGGCTCTACAAAATCAGTGATACCAAACCCGGGACCCGCAACCAACGCTATTTTTTTTCCTTTTTCTTTTTTTCTTTTTCTTTTATTGTCTCAAACTGTAGGGAAAACTGCCAAAAACGTCGTCGTCTGAGAGCTGTCTATTCTTTTTCTATCTATCTTATTTTTCTGTCTATCTGTCTATCTTTTTTCTTTTTTTTTTTTCTTATTATTGTCTCAAAACTGTGGAAACTGTCAAACCGTCGTCGATCTGAGAGCTGTCTATCTTTTTTCTATCTATCTTTTTTTCTGTCTATCTGTCTATCTCTTTTTTTCGTTTTTTTTTTCTTTTCATTTATTGTCTCAAAACTGTAGCCACAAAACAGAAAACTACCAAACCGTCGTCGATCTGAGAGCTGTCTATCGTCTATCTTTTTTCTGTCTATCTTTTTTTCTGTCTATCTATCTATCTTTTTCCTTTTCTTTTCTTTTATTGTCTCAAAACTGTAGCCACAAAACAGAAAAATCCCAAACTGCGAGCTGTCTATCGTCGGTGGCACCCGAGGAACTGAATCTTAAGCCGCTAGATTTATAGATAGATAGATAGATAGATGGAGATAGATAGGTAGATAGATTGATAGATAGTATTAGATTAGATGGGATGATGGATAGATTATGGATAGTTAGGTAGGTAGGTAGGTAGGTAGGTAGTATAGGTAGATTAGGTAGGTAGGTAGGTAGGTAGGTAGGTAGGTGGATAGATAGATAAATAGATGGATAGATAGATGGGTAGGTACAGATAAACTGATAGATAGATGGATGGATATATAGACTGATAGATAGACAATGGTATGGAATGGATGAAGATGAATGATAATGATGATGAATGAATGAATGAATGAATGAATGAATGGATAGATAGATAGAGAGGTAGACTGATAAATAGATAGAAAGGTAGAAAGGTAAAGTAGGCAGATATATACAGATAGAGAGATAAGACCACACAAACGCACACAAACAAATACACTCAAACACACAGATGATGAAGTGAAAAACGAAAACACATATATTCGATTTGCTTTTGAATTTATTTTCCTTCCTTCTATTCGTGTTTTCCGTCCTTCGTCGCTTCATTCATACTTGATTCATTATCAATCCTGCACATACATATACACGTACACACATACATACATATATACATATATACACAGACGCAAACACCCACCCCACTCATACACACACCCAACCACACACATTTATATCCCCCACACAGACTCACACCCTCATTTACACCCAAAAACTCGCTTATACCCCTCCCCTCATACACACCCTTACACCTCACACTCCCTCCCCCCACACTTATACCCCTTCCCCTTCCCACAACACATACACACAGTTCCCCCAAAAAACACTTATACCTCCCCATACACACCTTTACACCTTCCCCCTACACAAAACCTCACTCCTCCCCTCCCCCCCCCAACTCTGACACTTCCACCCCCCCCCCCCCTCAACACATACATACACAGTTCCCAACGGGCCGTGAGTCCCCCCACCCCCTCACCCCCCATCCCCCGGTCTGTTTACGTAAGATCGAGGGCAAGGGACGAGTCATGCCAGGGTCAGTTGGCACAACACGAGTCAAGGAGTCGGATAGAATGCAGACACACGCCTCATTACACCACAGAACCGAGGTGAGAGGGAGTTCGTAAAAAAAAAAAAAAAAAAAACACACGAATTCTCAAACAAACGCACACACGCACACACGCACACAAAACACAGATATGAACACAGGCACACACAGATAGAAATATACACACATACACATACAGGCACACACACATATAGAAATATACACAGATACACATACAGGCACACACAACGCACAATAAGAAACATACACAGATACACAAACAGGCACACACACACAGATCACAAACATACACAAAACCACGCACAACACACACACACAACACACACACACACACACACACACACACACACACACACACACCAACACACACAACACACACACACACACACAACACACACACAATGGCCAACAATGCATATGAAATTGACAGGGCCATCTAAGAGGGATCGACTCATTCCAGACCAACAGAAGGTCGCTTTGTAAACAGGTTAATGAAACTGAACATAAAAATCTATTTGCAGGGAGGGAGGGAGGGAGAGGGAGGGAGGGAGGGAGGGAGGGAGAGGAAAGAGAGAGGAGGAGGGAGGAGAGGGGAGAGAGGGGAGAAGGGAGAAGGGGAGAGGGAGGAGGGAGGGAAGAAGGGAGGAAGAAGAAGGAGAAAAAGTACAAGAGGAAGCGAAGGAGAAAGAAAACGAAGAAACAGTAGAATCAGAAGAAGAAATAGAAAAGGAGCAGACACAGAAGCAGATGAAGACAACGAAGAAGAAAAAACAAAGCCAAATAAAAACGACAATTTTCATTGTTAATCGAAAGAGGATAAAGATCTTAAAAATCAAATGATCTTGCTTCTGAAGGGAAAATCACAATAAAAAAATGTCTGATTGCTTCAAAACCCTATTTGGCCCACAGAAAAATGTCCAATTTATGCAAGGATAAGCAGAGTATGTCACCTGATAATTGAGAAGAAGATGAAGAAGAAAAAAAGAGGAAGAGGAAGGAGGAGAAGAGGAGAAAGAAGATGAAGAAGAAGAAGTGGACGAGGAAGAGAGAAGAAGATGAAGAAGAAGAAAAGGAAGAGGAAGAAGGAGAAGAGAGAAAAGAGAGAAGAGAGAGAAGAAAAGGAGGAAGAGGAAGGAGAAGAGAAGAGAGAAGATGAAGAAGAAGAAGAGGATGAGGAAGAGAGAGGAGAAGAAGAAGAAGAAAGAAAAAGAAAAAAAAAGATGAAGTATAAGAAAAAAAAATCGACACAAACCATCGCACTTACACCTCCGGCACAGGCTCTTACTGACACCTGCTTGGCACCTAATTGGCACCTCCAACTGGCTCTCTGCCAACCACACCAAAGGACTGACCAACACCCTCTTGATAATACCCCTTCCCCCCTCCCCCCCTCCTCTTACCCTTCCATATGCCCTACACCTTCCTTGCATCTCAAGGCCTCATATTATCACGCCCTCATACCCTTAATGCCCTCATACTCTACGTGGCCCCTCATGTAGGAGTATGAAGTGTGTTGTGTGTGTGTGTGTGTGTGTGTGTGTGTGTGTGTGTGTGTGTGTGTGTGTGTGTGTGTGTGTGTGTGTGTGTGTGTGTGTGTGTGTGTGTGTGTGTCAAGCATATAAAAAATTACATATTTATACATATACGCATACACATACATACACACACACACACACACACACACACACACACACACACACACACACACACACACACATCCATATATAAACACGAAAACAAAAAAAAAAA